GTGCTGGGTCTAGATGACCCCAGCTAGATGCTTATCTAACCTCCTCTTGAAGACCCCCAGGGTAGGGGAGAGCACCACCTCCCTTGGGAGCCCGTTCCAGACCTTGGCCACTCGAACTGTGAAAAAAGCATGCGCCCAACGTGGGGCTTGAACCCACGACCCTGGGATTAAGAGTCCCATGCTCTACCGACTGAGCTAGCCGGGCACTGGTCTCAGTAACTGAACTCCCACTGATTCCTATGAGAACCCAATTAAATGAATAAACATTTTGGAGCATATCCGAAAATTTCAGTTTTAGTTGGTTACCTTCTCCCCTAAAGGGATTTTCTTTTGCTAATAGAAATCAAAATACCAGTAAGAAACTATACAGAAAATATCGAGTGCTAATTACTTCATCAAATCAAGTGATCAATGAGTCAATTTTTGATTAATTCCCTATGTACTGGCTTTCCCTGGACCGGTGCCAACGAACTCTTGTACTGCAGTAGAAAACGATTAAAAATTACACAAGGGAAACAGCCTGCTTCTTGTAAAGACCTGAAGTGGCTGAGCAGAAAGAACAGTGTATTTTACCCTATAAAGTAAGCTTGATATTCTGTTTATAAAGCAATTTGGAAACTGTTTTTCCTTTGGTAAATTATTTCATAGCAACATTATCAGTTCATCTGTTCCAGAGTCTGTTTCTTGGGTTAAAGCTTTATTAAGAAAGTTCTCAAGCAATGACAAAAATCATTGGTTTGAGAAGTTATACACAATTTTTATACTCATAAAAAGACCCCGCTAAGTTCCCAAATTAAAACAAGACATGTAGCTATACCATCTGCAGTAGTTATTAAGTGCTGATTTCCAACACACATGTACAACACAGACAGGGCCTGAACAAACTCAACCTGAGTATTCATTCCTAGCAAGCCCTTCTAGGGACTTCATTGGTGGATAAAATTAATTTCTGAGGAACTTAATTTTTTTTTTGAAAGATAACTGATTGGCATGAAGGGAAAAGTCTTCCAAAAACTACAGACAGATCTGGTACCTTAGCTGCTGCTTAGAGTTTTGCCAATATTATACTAGAGCAGTGGTGCTCAACTTTTTTGGCCAGCAGGCTGGATGGGCAGGGTCCGATCCCTCTGCAGGCTGGATCTGGCCCATGGACCTAATCTAGCACTCGGAGCAGGCATGGTGGGGCCCAATTCTAGCTGCAGAGAGGGGCAGCCCTGATCCAGCTGTGAGGGCGAAGGGGTCTTAGTCTGGCCCCAACCTGGCCAGGCAGAGGAAAAGAGAATAGGCCTGGCCCCAGAGAGAAGGGGATGTGAGCTGGCCCTGAACCAGCTGCCTCAGCAGAGGGGGCATGGTCAAACTCTGTGGTGAGAATAGGGCACAGCCCAGCCCCAACCTGGCCACGTGGAGGGAAATGGGTATGGCCCAGCTCCAATCTTGTCATTCGGGGGGGTGGGAAGAGTTGTGGTCTGGTTCCTACCTGCCCCATAGGACGTAGTACTTTGGCAATGGGGAAGGGTGGCAGTACTGCCCACCTCTCCCCCACTGCCAAATTTCCTGACCCATGGGGAACCCTGCGGGCTGGATTTCAAGGCTCTGTGGGCCACATTTGGCCTGTGGGCCAGAGGTTGAGCACCCATGCACTAGGGGAAGACTGATCAGTCTTTTTAATTTTTCATTGCTCATACTCAGAATTCTGGTTTGCAGTAATGAACCTGGCAGGGGTCACATCAGGCATCTATACACATGCTCAGGGCTTTAATTAGAGTGGCTCTGAGAGCCGTTCTAATTAAAGTGCCTGCAGTGTCACACGTACTCAGCATCCTGCACCTCAAAACGGTGGTAGGGGCAGTTTAACTAAAGCTTGTTCGACAAGCTTTAGTTAAAGTGCCCCCGCTACCATTCTGAAGTGTGGGAACGTGAAAAACACGTGATACAGAGGCAGATTTGATTAATTGAGTCTGCTCTGTGTGCTAATTAGCACGTGTTGGAGCAGAAGTCTGTCACATATATAGGTGCCCATAAGTCCTAGTACCCAGCTAATCGGGAACATAAATTCGTATTTCAGAGGCAGACCCTGGAAGATTCTGCAGAGAAGAACTTGGGGTTGGGAAGTATTCGGTAGCAAATATCCCCTCCTGAAACTCAAAGTAAGTTCTGGTATTTAGAAATGATCCCATATACACCTAAAACCCAAAGCAGGCAATAGGGGTACCATCATTACATAGCATCATTTAAAAAAATGCATTATTCAGGTTTTCACTTAGTACTATCCAGCTGCCCCCCTGGACAGAATTTTTGGTGACTATTTATCCCTGGTTTTAGAAAATTGGGCCTCACTGTAGTGTCTGATCATACTTCTCACCTCTCCACCCCCTCCACTGGATGCAGGTTTTATGCTTGATAGTGTTTCTTGATTTTTCCTCTTTTGTATCATTAAATCTTCAGGAGTATCCATATGACCTCACTGCAGTAACCTCCTTCCTTCCCCAGTCCATTCCTTCTTTACTGTCTGTTACCCCCAATACTTGTATCAGATCTAATATTAGAAGACAATCTCTTTGAGCAAGGTTATTCTACTCTATTCTATCCTATAACTATAAAGTCTTGAAAGACTTAAAATTATATATTTTTTCAAATGTGCCTATACTGCTATTTTACTCACAAAGTATATTTACAGTTATAAAGCATAATTATATCTTCTCAGAATGAATTGTAAGTTGAAAAGACATCTTCTACTAAGCTTATTATTTTTACCTTAACCTCTCTCCCTTTCATGGATATTGAAGCTATTCTCATGTTATGTCTCTGTTATTGTCAGGATGAGTTCCTTGTAAGTACCCCTTGGAAACAACTCAGAGAATTACGTGCAAAATTCACAGTGATAACTAGGTAAGAACATTTAAAGCAATTTTACAAATAAACTATTTTCTGAAATGTGTGCAATCACAGCAGACAGGCCACTACTAACTCCACACTTTCTGTGAAATCTAATTAACAACTTTAAACAACTTATAAAATGGTCACAGAAGAGTCACTTGTATTCAGAGCAGCCAGCCATAGCATCTAATTCTTACAGATTCTTAGCCAAGTATCACAACTGAGAACTTCTTCCCAATTTTTTGTAAACTTGGTAAAAGAAACAGTTCCCAAGTGGCTATTTAAAATGTCTGTCCCATTCCTGGTTGGAGATGTGGTTTAGATGGTCTCTTAGTGGTGGCCAAAGAAAGATGAAGGGAGTTCACAGTAATGCCCCAACTGTCACATCCTAAGCATTTGGATCTGAGCGCCCAGACATTCTGGTACTCTGGGACAAGAAGCCCCTGCAGGCCACACTTCCACATTACAGATGGAACAGTTTTTAATTTGCACCTTTTTTTTTTTTTTTTTAGGGAAAGCTAAGAAGAATACCTAGTTCCCATATTACCAAGGCAAACTTGGCAAAATTTGGTCCCCAGTGATTTTTATATGCAACTCCAACCAATACCCCAGAAGCTTTTCTTTTAGAAGGGACATCTAGCTAAACTGTGGTTAATCTGTGAGCATCTCCAACACAGGATGGTCCCAGGAAAAGGAAAGTTTGGCTTTCTTCTGTTTTCTGTGGTTCGCTGGCAAGTTTAACAAATCACTCCTCCCCCCTTCATAGGCTGCACTAAATGCAGCTAGATCATTTGCTCTTAGGGTAGTTTGAGGAGCAAGAATACAGTCAAACTCTCTTTTCCTGTGTGGCAAGGCAAAACATTAACACCAGTCACATTTATAAATGTCATAGGGATGTGGCCATCTTTACTGCACTTATTCTAGTAATAAAAACACATGCAGCCAAGTTCTGCTCTCGAGAGGTATCTATGGTAGAGAAACTTTGGAAAAATTTTCCCATTGCCATTGTCAAATCAGCTGCACCGCATTTAACGGGTCTCACTAGTGTCAATCCCAATCAGTGTTTTTAACAAGAATTTTTTGCACAAGTCCTGACACTGTGCTACAAACTAGG